TGAGTTTTCATCTTTAAGTTGTTGATCCCCCCTCTGGGGAACATTGTGGTTATTCAAGTGAAGTTTCCTTCCAGGGGCGTTCACCCACTTTTTCAGGGATAGTCTTGAGTCTCAGAATTGGGTTGTTGCCCCCCGGTTTACAACAACAACGGCTCCTGCCTAATATTCCTTCACAATTTCTTCCCAAGGCACCGTTTCGCGCCCGTTCCCAGGGTTCCCACTCGTTTTTTTAGTCTTGAGTCAGAAATTTGGTTGTTGCCCCCCGGTTTACAACAAAAGTTGCTCCTGCTTGATATTCCTTCGCAGTTTCATCCCAAATCGGTCTCTCGCGCGGGACTTCCTCACAGTGTATGCAGGAATCGCGCGTTGGCGTCGGACGTCCTCGCAATGTATTCAGACGCCGCGCCCTGGACACTCAGGAGCCACGCTCTCGCATTGGATTTCCTCTGGATTCATTTGCGAATCGCGCTTTCGCTTGGAACTTCTTCGCGATTCATCCAGGACGCACGCTTCAGCAACCCGCCTGCTCGACCTGGCCGCCTGGGCCCGCCTTTCCCGACCCGCCCGTTAGGGTCTATCCGCCTGACCCGTCCGTTTGGTTCTTGCCACGTATCTTCTGCTCCTGGCCCCCCTTCTGCAACTCTCTCTCTCGTGTTCCATCGTCCTCGTTCACCCTTGTCCCTTTCTTCCATCCGTCCTTTCTTCCCCTGCCGTAGGGACTGCACGAAACACACACTCCAGGTAAGGCAATTTATACCCCCAAGGGGATACGATCGAAAACGAAAAGGGCGGGTATCGAGGGTTTGGGATATACGTGTCGAATGGCACGCGAGCAGATAAGAGCGAACAGTCTTAACATTGTAGCTGTTGTTGTTGATGTTGTTGTTGTGGTTGAACTCTAATTACTGAAGGATAATTATTGTTGATCCCCCCCTCCGGCGGACATTGTATTTTTTCCCCGACCTGGCGGAGGGGTTCCCGTTGTGTGTCCCCTTGGGGGGGTCTGGGGGGGGACCCCCCCGGACAGGGCCCTGGCCACGGGCGGAACGCCGGCGGAAGACGGCCGAACACGGCACCATGCTGCACCATTTTTGTAGACGCGCTTCCGGGAGGCACGTACGGCCCCAAGATGATCCACAAGACGGTCCAAGAGGGCCTCGAGTCGCCGAAAGATCGGCCCAAGACGCCCAAGGAGCCCCCAAAACGGTCCAGGAGGCCTCCAAGAGGCTCCCCAGGAGAGCCCCAAGAGTCAAAATTCATTACTTTTCCATAGGTTTTTCGACGTTTTTCGTGTTCTCGCCTGTTCGGCTTCCCGCACTCCAAGACGGCCCAAGAGGCCCCAAAGATCGCTCCAAGACGGCGTAAGCGGCCCCCAAGAGAGCGCCCAGACGGCCCAAAAAGCCCCCAAGACGGCCCAAGTCGCCTCCAAGACGGTCTCAGAAGGTGCCAGGAACGCCCCAAGAGAGTCCCCAGGGGGGAGGCAGGCACCGACATTTCGGGCTCCCCGCCCGAAGAGACCCCCAGGAGGCCCCGAAGAGGCCTCCAAGAGGCTTCAAGACGCCTCCAGGAAGCCCCCAGAAGCCTCCAGGAAGCCCCCAGAAGCGCCCAAGAGGGCCCCGACACTGCCTCAAGAGGGCCCCAGGACCTGACCTCCGCTCCGAGATGTACCGTCCTTTTTTGGATACCTTTTCATCCAAGAAGCTTGGCCCGAAAAGCCCCAGTCGAAATTTCAAGTTCCCACAAGTCCCCCAGAAAGCGTTGACGGGCAACGTGCTCAACTCACGCTCGTGTGCCTTCTGTCATCTTTTCTTGCGCACATCCTTTCCAAACCTGGTGGCTCGCATGGTCGCGTGCTGAGCTCACCAAATATGTCTCCGAGCCCACCTGCCCAAACGGACAACCAGGGAACCTACATAGTGCACCATCAAGGCATCCTCTTCTTTAGTTCCGACATTTCGGGCTCCCCTCCCGAAGAGACCCCCAGGAGACACCACGAGGCCCCCAGGAGGCCCCGAAGAGCCTCCAAGAGGCCGCAAGGCGCCTCCAGGAAGCCCCCAAAAGCCTCCAGGAAGCCCCTAGAAGCGCCCAAGAGGGCCCCGACACTGCCTCAAGAGGGCCCCAGGACCTGACCTCCGCTCCGAGATGCACCGTCCTTTTTTGGATACCTTCTCATCCAGGAAGCTTCGCCACAAAAGCCCCAGTCGAAATTTCAAGTTCCCACAAGTCCCCCAGAAAGCGTTGACGGGCAACGTGCTCAACTCACGCTCGTGTGCCTTCTGTCATCTTTTCTTGCGCACATCCTTTCCAAACCCGGTGGCTCGCATGGTCGCGTGCTGAGCTCACCTACTATGTCTCCGAGCTCAACTGCCCAAACGGACAACCAGGGAACCAACATAGTGGCCGCAAGACGCCTCGAGGAAGCCCCCAGAAGCCTCCAGGAAGCCCCTAGCAGCGCCCAAGAGGGCCCCGACACTGCCTCAAGAGGGCCCCAGGACCTGACCTCCGCTCCGAGATGCACCGTCCTTTTTTGGATACCTTCTCATCCAGGAACTTCGCCACAAAAGCCCCAGTCGAAATTTCAAGTTCCCACAAGTCCCCCAGAAAGCGTTCACGGGCAACGTGCTCAACTCACGCTCGTGTGCCTTCTGTCATCTTTTCTTGCGCACATCCTTTCCAAAGCCGGTGGCTCGCATGGTCGCGTGCTGAGCTCACCTACTATGTCTCCGAGCCCAACTGCCCAAACTGACAACCACGGCACCAACATAGTGCACCATCAAGGCATCCTCTTCTTTAGTTCCGTGGGTCTCGCATCTCTTTCCAATCACCTCTCGGCCAACTCCCACGAAGCGTTCTTTTTCCCCTTTCCAGCGCGCTACCTCACCAAACCAAAGTTTTCCTAAGGCCTCGCATGGCCCCGTCCTCTGCACACTTCGCCTCGGACCCCGACACTGCCTCAAGAGGGCCCCAGGATGGCGTCCTGAGATCCGCTCCGAGATGCACCGTCCTTTTTTGGATACCTTTTCATTCAGGAAGCTTGGCCAGAAAAGCCCCAGTCGAAATGTCAAGTTCCCACAAGTCCCCCAGTCAAGTTCCCACCAGTCCCCCAGACTGCGTTGTGTGGCAACGTGCTCCACTCACGCTCGTGTTCCTTCTGTCATCTTTTCTTGCGCACATCCTTTCCAAACCCGGTGGCTCGCATGGTCGCGTGCTGAGCTCACCTAATCTGTCTCGGAGCCCAACTGCCCAAACGGACAACCACGGAACCAACATAGTACACCATCAAGGCATCCTCTTCTTTATTTCCATGGGTCTCGCATCTCGTTCCAATCACCTCTCGGCCAACTCCCACAAATCGTTCTTTTCGCCCTTTCCAGCGCGCTACCTGACCAAACCCGAGTTCTTCTAAGGCCTCGCATGGCCCCGTCCTGCGCCCACTTCGCCTCGCGCATGGCAACTCGCTAATCTCACCCCGAAGGCCCCTCACGACAGTCTGAAGAAGGCCCCAGCAAGCCTCACGAACCCTTCCGCCGGAACCCAACTGCCCAAACGGACAACCAGGGAACCAACATAGTGCACCATGTAGGCATCCTCTGCTTTCCTTCCCTGGGTCTCGCAGCCTTCCAAGACGGCTTCAGAAGGACCCAGGAACGCCTCAAGAGAGCCCCCAGAGGGGGGGCAGGGACCGACAGTTCGGGCTCCCCGCCCGAAGAGACCCCGCCTCCAACACGTACCGCCGTTTTTTGGGGCCACCTTCTCCTCAGAAACGTGCCCGGCACAACCTCCCACGAAACCCGAGGACCCCAGGAGACTCACGCCGCAGGTCGTCCAATTCAGTCCTCATACAGTCAGACACGTGCCCGACAAAACCTCCAGCACAACCCGAGAGCCCCCAGGACCTCCACATCCCCCAAACTCCATCCTCTCGCCCGTCCTGCGACATCGCGTCCCCTCCCTTCCTGTGGCCCGCATGGAAACGTGCTGAGCCTACCTCGTGACTCACATGGTCGCGTGCTGAGCTCCCCCCCTCCCTTCCATGTGGCTCGCATGGACACGTGCTGAGCTCACGTCCTGCCTCGCTTGGTCGCGTGCGCTCCCCACCTCCAACACGTACCGTCGTTTTTTTGGTACCCTTTTCCTTATAAACGTTCCCTACACACCCCCTCACCATACCCGAGGCCGCCAGGGGCCTCCCAGGGCCCTCCGACTCCCTTGCCTCGCCCGCCATGTGCACCCGCGACACCCTCCCCCCGCCGGTGGCTCGCATGGGACCGTGCTGCGCTCACCTCGTCACTCGTACGGTCGCGTGCTGAGCTCCCCTCCAAGACGCACTATCTTTTTCTCCGCTGCCTTTCTCTCCGGCCTGCCGGTGGTGGCTCGCATGGGAACGTGCTGAGCTCACCTCGTCCCTCGCATGGTCGCGTGCTCAGCTCACCTCCAAGACGCACCATCTTTCCTCCCGCTACCTTTCTCTCCGGACTGCGGTGCAACATGCCCCCAACATGACTTTCACGTTGCCCCATGGCCCCATGGCCTCCCCTGGAGCCCCCAGGATCCGTCGCCACTTGGATCCGACCGGGCGCGCGCACCCAAGGCCTGCTGCAATGTGTTTCACGTCTGGCGACATTCCTGCATCGCCATACCCCGAGCACACATGCCTTCGTCGACGCGTTGGCCGCGCACACTCACCAAGGCCTTCATTTCGGATTGGATTGCGACTCATGGCGACAATTGGGAATCGTCTCTGACAACGGGTCTGCAAACATGGAAGCCCCGTAAAGCCCAGCGTCAGGGCCTCACCACCATTACCGTGGAAGACTGGTGCATCGCCCTCGAAGTGCCCTTCAGAGGGTATCGCAATGACTTGCGCTCCGAGTACGTGCAACGGCTCCTCACAGCAGCGCGCCTGCTTCCACGAAGCTCGCCATCGGAACGCACGACTCCAACCAAATGGCCTCGACACCTCACTACCGACTGCATCACCACATGGATTGCGTCTCAAGGAGACGCCTGGGAAGCGACCCTGGAGTCGGGCTTACAAGCATGGAGCCCTCGAAAGAGGCAGCGAAACGGCAGCACTGACATCACACTCGAAGATTGGTGCATCGCTTTGGGCGTGCCCTTCAAGGGGTACAACGACGACCTGCGCTCCGAGTACGTGCAACGGATCCTCACAGCAGCGCGCCTACTTCCACCAAGCTCGCCTGCGGAACGCACGCCCCAAACAAGATGGCCTCGCCACCTCACCACCGACTTCATCACCACATGGATCGCGTCTCAAGGGAACGCCTGGGAAGCGACCCTGGAGTCGGGCCTACAGGCATGGAGCCCTTTAAAGAGACAGCGGCACGGCAGCAGGGACATCACACTCGAAGATTGGTGCATCGCCCTCGGCGTCACATTCAAAGGATTCCGCAACGACTTGCGCTCCGAGTACGTGCAACGCATTCTCACGGCAGCTCGGTCGCTCGTGCAAGCATGGCCGTCCGACATCACCACCAGTTTCATACGCGCATGGGCGCGACGGCACACGTCTGATTGGGAACTCAAATTGCGACACTCCCTCTCCACGTGCCCCATGGCATCCCACTGGCGAGGACCCAAGGACACCTCCGTCGAAGACTGGTGCGTCGCTCTGAACATTCCTCTTCACAGCTACGACGAGACTCACCGACAACGCCTGACGGACTGCATCGTCGCAGCCGCCGCCAAGATATACAGTGCCCCTGCCACACACGCCGAGCCTCCAGGCCCTCCCGACCCGCCTTGGCCTCAGTGGCCACCTCTCCTCACCCGCGCATTCATCCAAGACTGGGCCCACAATGCACCCCCCACTTGGGAGACACAGTTACGACGCGGACTGTCCGTCTGGAAACCCGCGAGAAAGCAGAGAGGCCCCGACGAGGTTACGATCGAGGACTGGTGCGCAGCCCTCCTCATTCCGTTCAAAGGCTTCCGAAACGATCTGAGGCCCCAGTACATCCACCAAATCGTCGACGCAACTGCCATACTGCGAGCGGAGCCTCAGTGGCCCCACCACCTCGACGCGGCTTTCATCAAGCAATGGGCTCGCCAGCATCCGGAAGATTGGGAACGACACTTGCGCGCCTGGCTGCCCACGTGGAAACTCCACACCTCCCGCGCTGACGCCCCTGTCACTATCACAGCCTGGTGCATAGCGCTCGGCCTACCCTTCGACAAGCAACTCTGTGCCGCTCACGTACAGGAGTACATCGAGAAGATCGTTCATCAGGTTCACCTGCTGCTGCGCATCCCAATTTGGGAACAACCTCTCCGCCTCTCCGCCGTCGTGCAGTGGGCTAAGCAACATCCAGACGTCTGGCCTTCCTTACTCCAGCTCGCTCTCGACACTTGCCCTTTGCAGTCCACGCACAGCGACGTTGCGCTCGACCCCGCCCTCGACGCGTGGTGCCTCGCCTATGACATTGACTCCGCCGACCTGGGAAGACATCGTCGGCAACGTGCGAAACAAATCCTTGCAGACACCGAGCTCTACGTCACCCTGCCGATTACAGCGGGCGATTTGCGAGCCTTACGGACATGCCCCTACGACACTCTGCACCAGGAGGCTGCCCGGAGCGCCCTCCGCTTATCCTCTACGTCTTCCCGGGATTCCTCCCGGTCTGACCTCATATACGAAGCTACGTACGCGAGGCTTTCCCAAACAGACTTGGCCATTGCACTGCGCAACTTCATCAACGACCACCGTCGCCCCCCCCAACCACACCTGCCTCCAAGAGGCCGCAAGACGCCTCCAGGAAGCCCCCAAAAGCCTCCAGGAAGCCCCTAGAAGCGCCCAAGAGGGCCCCGACACTGCCTCAAGAGGGTTCCAGGACCTGACCTCCGCTCCGAGATGCACCGTCCTTTTTTGGATACCTTCTCATCCAGGAAGCTTCGCCACAAAAGCCCCAGTCGAAATTTCAAGTTCCCACAAGTCCCCCAGAAAGCGTTGACGGGCAACGTGCTCAACTCACGCTCGTGTGCCTTCTGTCATCTTTTCTTGCGCACATCCTTTCCAAACCCGGTGGCTCGCATGGTCGCGTGCTGAGTTCACCTACTATGTCTCCGAGCTCAACTGCCCAAACGGATAACCAGGGAACCAACATAGTGGCCGCAAGACGCCTCGAGGAAGCCCCCAGAAGCCTCCAGGAAGCCCCTAGCAGCGCCCAAGAGGGCCCCGACACTGCCTCAAGAGGGCCCCAGGACCTGACCTCCGCTCCGAGATGCACCGTCCTTTTTTTGATACCTTCTCATCCAGGAAACTTCGCCACAAAAGCCCCAGTCGAAATTTCAAGTTCCCACAAGTCCCCCAGAAAGCGTTCACGGGCAACGTGCTCAATTCACGCTCGTGTGCCTTCTGTCATCTTTTCTTGCGCACATCCTTTCCAAACCCGGTGGCTCGCATGGTCGCGTGCTGAGCTCACCTACTATGTCTCCGAGCCCAACTGCCCAAACTGACAACCACGGCACCAACATAGTGCACCATCAAGGCACCCTCTTCTTTAGTTCCGTGGGTCTCGCATCTCTTTCCAATCACCTCTCGGCCAACTCCCACGAAGCGTTCTTTTCGCCCTTTCCAGCGCGCTACCTCACCAAACCAAAGTTTTCCTAAGGCCTCGCATGGCCCCGTCCTCTGCACACTTCGCCTCGGACCCCGACACTGCCTCAAGCGGGCCCCAGGATGGCGTCCTGAGATCCTCTCCGAGATGCACCGTCCTTTTTTGGATACCTTTTCATTCAGGAAGCTTGGCCAGAAAAGCCCCAGTCGAAATGTCAAGTTCCCACAAGTCCCCCAGTCAAGTTCCCACCAGTCCCCCAGACTGCGTTGTGTGGCAACGTGCTCCACTCACGCTCGTGTTCCTTCTGTCATCTTTTCTTGCGCACATCCTTTCCAAACCCGGTGGCTCGCATGGTCGCGTGCTGAGCTCACCTAATCTGTCTCGGAGCCCAACTGCCCAAACGGACAACCACGGAACCAACATAGTACACCATCAAGGCATCCTCTTCTTTATTTCCATGGGTCTCGCATCTCGTTCCAATCACCTCTCGGCCAACTCCCACAAATCGTTCTTTTCGCCCTTTCCAGCGCGCTACCTGACCAAACCCGAGTTCTTCTAAGGCCTCGCATGGCCCCGTCCTGCGCCCACTTCGCCTCACGCATGGCAACTCGCTAATCTCACCCCGAAGGCCCCTCACGACAGTCTGAAGAAGGCCCCAGCAAGCCTCACGAACCCTTCCGCCGGAACCCAACTGCCCAAACGGACAACCAGGGAACCAACATAGTGCACCATGTAGGCATCCTCTGCTTTCCTTCCCTGGGTCTCGCAGCCTTCCAAGACGGCTTCAGAAGGACCCAGGAACGCCTCAAGAGAGCCCCCAGAGGGGGGGCAGGGACCGACAGTTCGGGCTCCCCGCCCGAAGAGACCCCGCCTCCAACACGCACCGCCGTTTTTTGGGGCCACCTTCTCCTCAGAAACGTGCCCGGCACAACCTCCCACGAAACCCGAGGACCCCAGGAGACTCACGCCGCAGGTCGTCCAATTCAGTCCTCATACAGTCAGACACGTGCCCGACAAAACCTCCAGCACAACCCGAGAGCCCCCAGGACCTCCACATCCCCCAAACTCCATCCTCTCGCCCGTCCTGCGACATCGCGTCCCCTCCCTTCCTGTGGCCCGCATGGAAACGTGCTGAGCCTACCTCGTGACTCACATGGTCGCGTGCTGAGCTCCCCCCCTCCCTTCCATGTGGCTCGCATGGACACGTGCTGAGCTCACGTCCTGCCTCGCTTGGTCGCGTGCGCTCCCCACCTCCAACACGTACCGTCGTTTTTTTGGTACCCTTTTCCTTATAAACGTTCCCTACACACCCCCTCACCATACCCGAGGCCGCCAGGGGCCTCCCAGGGCCCTCCGACTCCCTTGCCTCGCCCGCCATGTGCACCCGCGACACCCTCCCCCCGCCGGTGGCTCGCATGGGACCGTGCTGCGCTCACCTCGTCACTCGTACGGTCGCGTGCTGAGCTCCCCTCCAAGACGCACTATCTTTTTCTCCGCTGCCTTTCTCTCCGGCCTGCCGGTGGTGGCTCGCATGGGAACGTGCTGAGCTCACCTCGTCCCTCGCATGGTCGCGTGCTCAGCTCACCTCCAAGACGCACCATCTTTCCTCCCGCTACCTTTCTCTCCGGACTGCGGTGCAACATGCCCCCAACATGACTTTCACGTTGCCCCATGGCCCCATGGCCTCCCCTGGAGCCCCCAGGATCCGTCGCCACTTGGATCCGACCGGGCGCGCGCACCCAAGGCCTGCTGCAATGTGTTTCACGTCTGGCGACATTCCTGCATCGCCATACCCCGAGCACACATGCCTTCGTCGACGCGTTGGCCGCGCACACTCACCAAGGCCTTCATTTCGGATTGGATTGCGACTCATGGCGACAATTGGGAATCGTCTCTGACAACGGGTCTGCAAACATGGAAGCCCCGTAAAGCCCAGCGTCAGGGCCTCACCACCATTACCGTGGAAGACTGGTGCATCGCCCTCGAAGTGCCCTTCAGAGGGTATCGCAATGACTTGCGCTCCGAGTACGTGCAACGGCTCCTCACAGCAGCGCGCCTGCTTCCACGAAGCTCGCCATCGGAACGCACGACTCCAACCAAATGGCCTCGACACCTCACTACCGACTGCATCACCACATGGATTGCGTCTCAAGGAGACGCCTGGGAAGCGACCCTGGAGTCGGGCTTACAAGCATGGAGCCCTCGAAAGAGGCAGCGAAACGGCAGCACTGACATCACACTCGAAGATTGGTGCATCGCTTTGGGCGTGCCCTTCAAGGGGTACAACGACGACCTGCGCTCCGAGTACGTGCAACGGATCCTCACAGCAGCGCGCCTACTTCCACCAAGCTCGCCTGCGGAACGCACGCCCCAAACAAGATGGCCTCGCCACCTCACCACCGACTTCATCACCACATGGATCGCGTCTCAAGGGAACGCCTGGGAAGCGACCCTGGAGTCGGGCCTACAGGCATGGAGCCCTTTAAAGAGACAGCGGCACGGCAGCAGGGACATCACACTCGAAGATTGGTGCATCGCCCTCGGCGTCACATTCAAAGGATTCCGCAACGACTTGCGCTCCGAGTACGTGCAACGCATTCTCACGGCAGCTCGGTCGCTCGTGCAAGCATGGCCGTCCGACATCACCACCAGTTTCATACGCGCATGGGCGCGACGGCACACGCCTGATTGGGAACTCAAATTGCGACACTCCCTCTCCACGTGCCCCATGGCATCCCACTGGCGAGGGCCCAAGGACACCTCCGTCGAAGACTGGTGCGTCGCTCTGAACATTCCTCTTCACAGCTACGACGAGACTCACCGACAACGCCTGACGGACTGCATCGTCGCAGCCGCCGCCAAGATATACAGTGCCCCTGCCACGCACGCCGAGCCTCCAGGCCCTCCCGACCCGCCTTGGCCTCAGTGGCCACCTCTCCTCACCCGCGCATTCATCCAAGACTGGGCCCACAATGCACCCCCCACTTGGGAGACACAGTTACGACGCGGACTGTCCGTCTGGAAACCCGCGAGAAAGCAGAGAGGCCCCGACGAGGTTAGCAGAGAGGCCCCGACGAGGTTACGATCGAGGACTGGTGCGCAGCCCTCCTCATTCCGTTCAAAGGCTTCCGAAACGATCTGAGGCCCCAGTACATCCACCAAATCGTCGACGCAACTGCCATACTGCGAGTGGGAGCCTCAGTGGCCCCACCACCTCGACGCGGCTTTCATCAAGCAATGGGCTCGCCAGCACCCGGAAGATTGGGAACGACACTTGCGCGCCTGGCTGCCCACGTGGAAACTCCACACCTCCCGCGCTGACGCCCCTGTCACTATCACAGCCTGGTGCATAGCGCTCGGCCTACCCTTCGACAAGCAACTCTGTGCCGCTCACGTACAGGAGTACATCGAGAAGATCGTTCATCAGGTTCACCTGCTGCTGCGCATCCCAATTTGGGAACAACCTCTCCGCCTCTCCGCCGTCGTGCAGTGGGCTAAGCAACATCCAGACGTCTGGCCTTCCTTACTCCAGCTCGCTCTCGACACTTGCCCTTTGCAGTCCACGCACAGCGACGTTGCGCTCGACCCCGCCCTCGACGCGTGGTGCCTCGCCTATGACATTGACTTCGCCGACCTGGGAAGACATCGTCGGCAACGTGCGAAACAAATCCTTGCAGACACCGAGCTCTACGTCACCCTGCCGATTACAGCGGGCGATTTGCAAGCCTTACGGACATGCCCCTACGACACTCTGCACCAGGAGGCTGCCCGGAGCGCCCTTCGCTTATCCTCTACGTCTTCCCGGGATTCCTCCCGGTCTGACCTCATATACGAAGCTGCGTACGCGAGGCTTTCCCAAACAGACTTGGCCATTGCACTGCGCAACT